CGCGCCGAGACTTCTACTGGCTGCGCTCTTTCATCGCCGGAGGTGGGTGCCCCGGGCGGGGAGCGGCGGCAGGCACGCTTCGGTGTCGCTGTCCCCGGTGAGGTTGCCACCGGCTCTCATCGCCTGGGGAAGCGGGGAGCTCGCTTTTCCTTTCCCCCGCTAAGGGACTAGCGCGGGTGGCGCGGTGCACGCCAGTGGCTCGCACGTGTGTCAGAAGCAGCGAGGAGCCGCGGTCAGCCGCCAGTTAAATGTTCCCAGAGCACAAACCCTCGTTGGGGTGCTCGGAGACGGCGGGTTATCCTTGTCCGCAGGGGTTGCCCTGTTGAGGCTGCTGTTGAGAAGATGAAGGTGGTGTGAAGGGGCGAGCCTGGCAAACACAAAGCCACATTAATAATCTCCTAGAGAAAAAGCCTGATTATTCTTCCTGTAAGGTGTTGTCTCAGCTGTCTGATTTGCTCGAGGTAGGAGCAGGGTGCGTTTATTTCAAGTTCTTATATCATGCCGCGCTCTCTGTTGGATCTCATTCTCAGACACGTAGCCCACCTCCTTGGGAGCATCAGCAAGGGCTGTTTCCCCGCAAAAAGGAAGGAGGAAATGGGATGGAAAACTCTTGAGTAACTTGCAGGAAAGTTCCTTCTGCAATGACCTTAGCAGCTGAAACAGACAGTGGCCTGGGTTTTTGTAAACAGGAAAAGTAGCTTAAATGTTTCACTAAGGCTTCAAGGGCTTTGTAACATCTAATAGAAGCTGTTTACTTGACATTAGGGCTTTTTCCAGTTCCTGACTGAGTGAACTACATTAGAAAAATCCCTTATTTAACTGCTGACCTCAAGAATTTTTTTCATCCTGTCACTTTTCTGTTTGTCTCTTGGAAAGGTGTTGCAGGATGTTGTGCCAAGACAACTACTGCACCACTGGATCGAGTAAAGATTTTGCTGCAAGCTCATAACCACCATTACAAACATCTAGGTAAGATGGCTGTGGTGTGTCTAAGTTTTGGTTTTAAATGCAGTGTTTGTGGTTTGGGTATATCTATTTCCTCAGTGATGAGGCTGATAAAAAAGGTGCTTATCAGACAGCAGGTTGTATCTGTCTGGTCAGGCTGTGTGCCATGTTTTGTTACTGTTTGAGAAGAAAGACAAAGGCCTGTGTAAGTTGTGGTATCAGTCGATGTGTTAGAGATGTCAGAATAATCCTCAATAAGGCATGGAAGAGCTAGGCTTGATCTGTTGCTTACAGAAGGCAGCAGGAGATTGGGTAATCACAGCTTCAAAGCTTGGATCATTTCAGTACAAACTCTGCTGCAGTGGGTGCCAGTTCCCAGGGGCCCTGGGGATCCTGTTTTTCAGACAGGGATGGCTGGTGGGAATTGGAGAGCAGAGGTTTGTGCCTGGTGTAGGTGCAGGTGGTCTGTGCTCAGCATCTGTGTTGCATCACGGTGAGAGAGCAAACTCACATTCAGAGCTGTTCTCTGCGGGCTGTAACAGTGCCCTCTCGTGCAGAGTATTTGAGCCATTTGTGTCAGATGTTACTGAAATACTGTTGTAACTTTTGCTCCAAATTTTAAGTGTTGCAATTATAGGGGAGAAAAAAAATTGAATTGGCTAATTTTGCATGTAACTAAACTTGTTAGTAACTTAGACACTAAAGATAATGTTTTTTTAAAAGTTGGAAAAATAATTCATTACTAAATCATGAAATTCAGTGGATATATGTATATATTCGGTATGGCAAAAAGGGAAACACAAACAATGTGTTTTAGTAACAAAGACACAAGTATACACTCAAGTCTAAGACTTGAAGGGTGAAATAATTGGTTTGGCTGGGATTTTTAATCCTCATTTTCAATTTGCTTTGTACTGTGCCATAGTTGGCAATTAAAATCTTATGTTCTTCCCTATTTTGGGAGCCAGATGTGATGCTGATTATTTGAATGGTGCCTGACTTGAATGTGTGTCCATGTTACAAAAAAGGAGGATTATGTGGATGAGGTACCTGTAAATGCAGAGACACGATGGGTCAGTTCATCAGAAGTCCTCACTCTGTGTTTTTATACCCTTCCCTTGTGGAGCTTGTGCCACGTGGATCTCTGGTGTGTTCTAGGAAATAGAAACAGTAATTCGTCATTGCAGCATAGAGAGAAATTCTGGTCTTGGCATAAATAAGTTCAGAGGCATGTAATAAGCATGACATCTTAAAAGTAAATAAACTATTAAATATGTAATAATATATTCCTATACAGTGATACAGTAACAAGGTGCACTAATCTATTCATATTCTTAGAATCCCAGAAACTATACTTATTTTGTTTGAAATTCAAATGAAAGTTTGTCACCCTTTTCTTCCTGCCTGAAAGCAAGATGTCATTTTCCATTTTCTGCTCTTATTTAATGGTTGCATGTGAATCAAAACTGTTTGACTATCATAGTTAATTATTTTATAGAATCAAACTAAGAAGTGAGTTTGACAGCAACTGTGCTAGCTAATGTTTATACAGTAAAACTATGGGTTTTTGCCCAAACTTTGTGTGATCTTGCATTATTTCACACCAATTAAAACGAAGTAGGATTGTTTCTTGTTGCAACAACTCTGAGATAAAGATTGTGAGGTGCTTAAGTCATAAGTAATGACAGTCTTCAACATGTTTACTTGATTTCCTCAGTGATGGAATTTTAATTAATCTGCAATTTAGCATGTAGCAATATCAGATTGTTTTTCCATGGCTTTAGATTTTAAAGTATTATTTATTTATGTAGAAGGGACTGAATTGGTTCCCTCCCTTGTGTTGCTGGCATTGGGCTGCTGTGGGTGGGTAGTGGCACCTGCAGTAGCATTGCTCACAGTCCAGGCCTGAGTGCAGAGCTTCACGGAGTCTGGGAGATGAGAAAACTGATAAAACTTAACATTAGGCTCTCCCTTCCAGCAGTGTTTGGGCACTGAAAGTGGATTTTCCACAGTTACATGAGCAACGTGATGCAGCCTTAACTTTATATGTTTAATTTCTTTACAACAGCATTTCCTTGATTTTGTTTTCCTTCCCCACAGTGTAAAAGACCTTTTGTTTGTATTACTGCAGGAGTATTTTCTACGCTGTGTGCTGTCCCCAAAAAGGAAGGTTACCTTGGGCTGTATAAAGGAAATGGGGCGATGATGATTAGAATCTTTCCTTATGGCGCTATTCAGTTTATGGCATTTGACCAATATAAAAAGGTAACTGAGTTTATTGTTTTCCTTTTCTCTCTTTTTTTTCCTGCTTGCAATGAATACAGACTGGTTGAGTGAGTGAAACAAACACTGAAACTTGTGTCTTATTAATTAGCTACACATCTTCTCTATGGTTGCTTAATTTTATCAGAATTTACTCGTTAAAAACAACAGGCAAGCTTTTGCAATGTTGCTTAAGGAAAAAGAAATTCACACTGACTTCTAAATGTTTGTATTGTTGAGAATAATACCCTTTCTATTGATGAAAGGAAAAGGTTGTTTAAAGTCTTCTCTTATTTGTATTGGTATGAGGTAGCCCTTTGTGAATAATGTAGGAAAAAATGTAGAATGAAACAACTTTATTGTATTTATGTTTGGATTCTTAGTACTTCACAGATAAAATGACTTAAACTTGAAAGTCTGGATATGACTGTTCTATTTGACCTGACAAATTATTATGTCAGGTTGTAGATAAAAATGACCTTGAAGATAAAAATGCTCATTCCAGAGTCCTGCAAGATTTGTGGATTCTTTTCTGTTTTCCCGCATTTACCCTTTCATAATAAATCTTTGCATTATCTCACGGAGGTCAGTTGTGTTAGCATCAAAGTGTTTTTAAACATTGCTGTTTGTGGTAAAATAAATACCATTCTGCTATTAGTGAGGAGAAATTTCATGTTTGAAAGGTCAGATTTGGCACCCAGACAATAGTATAATGTTTACTGAGGACAGTGGGATTGAAATTTTGATTCCCTAAGAGTAAATTTCAGAAGACTGATACAAAGGAGTTCTGTAATGGGTTTTGTGGGTTCTTTTTTTTTTTTTTTGTGCTGTAATCATGAACCCTGTTGATCAGTGCATGTTTTATGTCATGTGGAATAAAAGACTGCATGCCATGCTTTATAATTGAAATGATTTATGAATCTGCAATTTCAAGAACCCAGTTAGCATCACAGCACTTTCTTTTATCTATTAATTGACCAGAAACCTTCACAATATTTTGCATGGATATGTAGAAAAAAAATTCTTAAAGGAGGAAGATATGAAATGATATTTATAGCAGAAAGTCTCAGTTTTTTGATAAAAGCCTTGAAGCTAATTTCCAACTTCCTTCCAGGCCATAATTAACTTAGCAAGTTCTTGCTCTGAAATGTCCTTTTTCTCTTCCTTTTTATTTCTCCCTTTTTCTTTTTCTTTCTTTCTTTTAATCCAGTTAAAATCTTTATGGGAGTGTTTCACATGATGTGCATGTAAGAAAAATTGACTCTTCTTACTTTTCAACTTTGTTCAGTGTCCTTTGCTCTCTACATGTTCAGTTTTCCTTGTTTAACACACATTAATGATAACTAAATAAACAATTAATCTAGCTTCTGAAGTGAACAGTACAAATACTTTCAACTCATTGTTTTGCTTTTGGTAGAATTTTAATAAGAAATTGGAAACTGCAGCAGTTAAAAAACTCTAACAGTAATTAAATGTTCTGGATTGAATTTGTAGCATTGTAAATTTCTTGGAAACCGCTGCAGAGTTTTCACTAATGTGCTAATAAACTTTGTGCTGTGTTTTCCCTGTCTTTTCTGATATCTGACTACTGTAAATATTCCATATTGTGTAGGTAATAAAGAAACAGCTTGGGATTTCTGGGCACGTGCATCGATTAATGGCTGGATCCATGGCAGGTATAGTTATGTACTTGGGTTTCAGACATGCCTTTTGCTGAGAAGTTAATATTCATTCAGAGAATGATTTGATGTGGTGTTGGGTCAAGCTCCTGCAAATTTCTATTAAGCAACTGTACTAGTAAATGGTTAATTTAATGTGGTTGCCTAATTGAAATCTGTTTGTCTAAGAGTATTCTTTAAAATATATTTGTGCAAGCAGTGAATTCTGTGCTATGTTGTGAAGCACAGTTTTTTTTATAGTCTTTTATTATGGCATTTAAAAAAGTGTAAAAACCAGGGGCATCGATATATAAGTATAAAGCTGCAGGTTCTGGTAGAATTAGCTCATTGGCCCCTCTGCCACTGCTGCTAGGTTGAATATAAGCCCACAGAAACAGAGAACTGTGGCTTCTTAAGTGAGGAGTTTCTTTGGATTTGCCAGAAATGTCTGTACGTTTCCATGTCCAGTGCAGGATTGTCATGATGCTCTTTAGATCATATTTGTGAATGTTAAAATCTCTCATCTATTAATTAGTGCAACAGCAGCAGAAAAACCCATCAGTAAACTGCCAGTATATATGATGATTTTATATTTGTTTTCCTCTTACTAGTCATTGAGTCAAAAGTAGCTAAGAAAAAAACAGGGGAAGGTAAGTAATAGTGGACTGAGTTTTAATTGAAGGGTTCTAATATGCTTTTAATTTGTAAAACAGGCTTAGTACTGTGTAGTGACAGTCCTTAAATAGTTATGGGTATTCATATTTAGCTTGTTTTGGAAAGAAATTACTGGGATTTTTTAATACTACCTTCAGTTAAACTAGGAAGGTCTCATAAAAATAGTCTGGCTTTGTGTGATGTCAGAGGAAAGAGAATGAAATTAAACAATAGGAAGAGTCCTAAAAACTAACAAAACCTGTTTGCTAAGATATGTTCCAGAATTTGGCTGGCTTTCTATCTGAAAAGTCAAAAAAAACCCTAGATCCATAGAGTTTTTTATCTTTTTTTTCCTTTCCCCTGGCTTTAACTGTTCTGAGAAACATTTTGAAATTCACTTTCCCCCCATCCACCCAGAAGATTATTATTATTATTTTTATTAGCTTTTCCAGGAGCTTTGTCAGAGACTGGGAACTTGGCTTGGGAGGCACTGTGAAAACCCTGAATAATCAGCTTAATCTGTCAGTGTTGGATGAGGTGGAATTCTTCCCGTAAATAAATTAATAGCATCTGGCATTTTTGTAAGCACCTTACTGGTTAAATCTGGTTTGTGTGGTTAGAGTAACAGAAATAAATTAATATACAGAGCTGTCTGGCTACCACAATCTGCTTTATCCTGGTGTGTTTAAGTACAATATACTCAATAGTTCTGTTTTTAGAACCCCAAAAGTGAGGAACTGAGCTTGACTTGGGGGTGAAATGAACACAGCAGTTAAGTATATATAGTGTCACATGTGAGTCTCTCACTATTTGTTTACTTGGTGGCATTAACTGCTTCTTGGATATTCTTTAGATAATAAGAGGCAGAGGATTTATCTTAAGTATATCAAGGAGATATAGGGGGAGGAAGGAGGCGCTGAGTAGCGAGATTGAAATCTGGTACAGAAGTTTTCTAGGTTTGCAAACAAGAAAGAAAAGACTTGAAAGCGATTGGTAATATTTCTTGCCTCCCTTCCTGCACTGGCTCCAATAAAGGATATTTTTCCATTTCTTCCACACTAAAGATGATGTGCTGCACAAACCCCAGTGCTGGTGCAGAGGGGTCTTCACAGCTTCACAGGTTGCAGTTTTAAGAAGTTGAGAATAGATAATCTGTATTTATTTTAACTTCTTGTTCCCTCTCCACCATCTAGCCAGGCAGCTGTCTGCTTTCACTTCTCTGTACCCAGAGACTTAAGTCTTGTTTATGTCAGTGTTTCCAACATGACTAGTGGTCATCAGACCTGAATCGGCTTCAGAGCGGTGGGAAACATTTCAGTGTCTTCTGTAAGTGATAAACAGGATCAAAAGCATATCCACAGGGGAAGTGGGGATGGGGTAGTGGAGAGAGAGAAAAGAAAAGCCTATTGTAATGCATATATTTAAGGAGACCAAGTTAAAGTTACTGTGGAAACTCTAACTCTGAATTTCCTGAGTCTTGTGTGATTCAAATTTCAGCTGTAACACTTCATTAACAGATAAGCAGTGTATAGCTTCTTTAAGGAAGGACAGAGCTGGACAGAAATCACAGAGGTTTGTGG